TATAGCCTCAACAAGCAGAGACATCAATGTCAGGAAAGGCCTCGCATGGAAAGCTTTACAGAGTCTGGATGCTTTTTGGAAATCTAGTATGTCTATGAAGATCAAGACTAAGATTTTTCGAACTGCAGTAGAACCTGTTCTGCTGTATGGCGCAGAAACCTGGACTCTTAAAAAGGCTGATATTAGAGCACTAGACGGTGTTTATACTAGAATGCTACGAAGGGTCTTTGGTATCTCATGGAAATCACATACACCTAACTCCGTTTTTTATGGAAAGATTCCATCGGTGACAGATACTATAAAGACACGAAGATTTCGTTTTGCAGGGCATGTCTACCGTCTACAGGACCAACCTGCCCAACAACTCCTTTTTTGGCAACCATCCTACGGCCAGCGTTATCGAGGACGACCACATAAGACCTTCCCGGATGTTCTACTCGAAGACACTGGAATGGAACCTTACCAGCTGCGTTTGCTCATGTGTGATAGAGATAAATGGAGAGAAGCGTTGACACGAAACTCGTTCCAGATTTCATCTGGATCGACCTAGGCAGGGCATACCTGTATTACTAAAGCAGTGGAGCCAAATATTGTCCTCATGTTGACAGTTGTGTCTCAAAATCCGGGAATCGCAATCTGATATGTCAATATCATTCTCTTTACAGCTTACGTCATCCATTACTATTGACATGTCAGTTCGTTTCAGCCAATCCCTGAATGATTGAATGGTTTGGTGCAGATTGCAGAATGTTCGGATATTCAAAATAGCAAAGAAACAGCATTTCCATTGCAACAGAAACTAAAATGTTGACATATAAATCAAACTCACTCAGGAACATATTTCATGTTTCTCGGATTACTTCCCCAGTCAGAGAAGTGATGTCCAATTGTCCAGCAAAAAAGCTGTGCCGAATACCAGTTAAACGCATTCTTGCAAACTGTTCCATTTTTCACCATACCAGTTTGCTTGTTAAAAACTGTTGCGATCAAAAGACCCCCGCTATCATTAAGTTTTTTCGTTCCAGTCACCATGTTGATAAGAGATGCTCTCTCAAACTCCCACACACGCTCTGAAACAATTATGATAACAGTTAGTGAAGAATCGTATTTTTGAAAGAGCGAATTTACCCTCATTTAACATTCATTGATCCTCCCATGACTGGTTTGATAATACACGAAATCGCAGTATCGGATCAAACAATGTCTAAAATATAAATTTAATTACACTTCTTAAAATAATAACATTGTCACCCACATCTGTACTAAGGTACTATACTACCAAAGCACTAACCTATATTATAATAAGAGGTAGTGCTGCCTGTACTAAGCTCTATTCTGCTCACTTCTCTTCCCCAATAAGTATTCCATTTTACATAACTACACGTTTCAGATGATGCTGTTATGTCGAGTACCTGTTTTCCATTACAATATACTATGATCCTGTAGCCACGTTTCTCTACTACCCAGTGTTTATCTGTTTCTGTAGGTAGACTCTGGAAGGGAGTGTTGCCTAACTGACAAAAGTGAAGCCAATACTTTACACGAGTACTGAACTGGATACCAATACCTCCTACTTCTTCTCCTTCCTCACTATAGAAATATATCCCTATCTCCTCCCCACTACCGACAGTGCTGTCTGTTCTCAGGTGCAGGTAAGAAGTATCCAGATCAGCAGGGATACTTTTGTAATTAACCACAGGGCTCCACTTATCTGTTGATTTGTAAGTTATGATAAACTGGGTTGAAATGTTTTGAGCTGCAACACGGATCTTAGAAATGTCGATTATTAGAATTATAATATTATATAATATATATATAATATATAAATTTAATACTTTCAACACTACTATATAACAAATAATTTGAGATAACGATGTTTAATAAATGATGCAAAGAATTTCGAAGATCTAATCAACACCGACTTTTAATGTGTAGGAGTACAGCAACGAAATATATATATATATATATAAGTTTTTTAATTATTTTCAACACTACTACATAACAAATAATTTGAGGATGACTGTAAAGGTACATTTTACCGACAATTGAAGTCAAGGCATTGTTTTACTGACAGTTGTGGCTGACTAACAATATATATATGAGAAGACTTGATTATGAACATCTCAGTTACAATTAATAATTTGATTAATACGGTAGATGGGGTGAGTTATTTTCATAGTGCAAATTTTAAAACCATAGAACCATCTTATAATGAACATTATGGAATGATAAAAGGCTTATCATGGTTGACGGTTAAAGTTACAGAATGGAAACGTGCAATATGTATATCGTAATATACATGATTTAAAATGTATTACCTAATATATATATATATATATATTTCATGGCTGGACTTCTACACAATAAAAGAAAGCGGTTGTGATTAGATCTTCGAAAGTCTTTGCATCGTTTATTTACATCAATTCTCAAATTATTTGTTATATAGTAGTGTTGAAAGTATTATTATTATATATATATATCCTGGGTTTGTACAGGACATTACTCGCTCAAATTATTACAATAGCGATACATAATACTCAATAAATTTAATAGATTTGTAGTGTTGCAATTAGTTTAAGATTATATATGAATTAGTAATAACTAGCAGGAACCCGCCTAACCCTAAAGTGGTATCAAGACTCAAGAGACTAAAATAATTATTACCTAATTAATTCGCGTTTTTGACACCACTTGGGGGTCCAAATTCTGGGCACTAAAATTCTTATTCCTCGGCCAATTTTTTATTTTGTCATGCTGATTTGAAGGCCATTAAAGCATTTCAACCAGTCAAAAAAATATAAGTTGTATATCTTTTACGGTTATAAAATCATCACGGGAAAGTTTTAATATGTGATTTGTTACCAGCATTTTTTATATGTTCGTAATTATTTGTTTTTCGCCCCTCAGGAATGAATAGTACAACCCCTTTCAAGAGTCCTTTACTGCATAATTAATTTGTATTTCGTCCGAAGGGCTTTCCATAAAAAAAATACTTGGTCCATTTATTGATGTTTCACTTTTCACAGCAGTTTCCTTTTCAGAGTTTGAGTTTATATTTAGAAACTAACCATACTATTTTTTAGATTTATGTCACTCATGATGGCTCCGGCTGAAAGTACTATGACTCATTTTATCTAGAAGATTGTAGTTTCATTGCTTCTGAAGTAGCTATCAGTTCGCCGGTCAATGTTGGGTATAATACACTTGTTATTTGTTTTTTAATTCAGTTTCACACGTAAGGTGCATTCGTGTAGATTTTTTTATTGTGTATGGAGTTGGACATGGGTGAGGTTAGCACGTGGGATTTTAGGGTTAGTGTTAGTCACGTGAGGGTTTATACGTGCATTCTTCTTTATTTTTCTTCAGAGATTTAATGGTTTAGTATTTTAGGATTTTAGTAAGTAGGGGGAGGTTTGGTCGAATTTGTCAATACCTTGAGATATTGACGAAATCGATTAAATCTTCCCGGGGGATATAGTGTAATGTGGAAGCTGGTTTCAGCAGTTTAAGTGTAGTGATATTTTAGTTAGGATATTGTAGTTTAGTGAATTATACCTTTATGATTAGTGCTTGATTAGATTTGATTAGTGTTGTAGATTAGGATTGGTTTTGGAGGTCACGCGGTAGTCAGGGTAGTTAGTTAGGTTATATTATTGGACACACTGAGCCAAGTGTTGCCGAGTAACGCAGTGCTGGTAATTCTCATCTGTTACAGTCAGTTCTTAGGGTGGCTTGCTAGGTGCAGTTTAAATAAGTTACCGCTGCCGAAAAACACTGTAACGTGGCCGGCGAGTCACTAGTTTCGTTTATTGATTGACTGTAATTTATCACGCTTCGAAACTTGTTGTTCGAATACACTGTTTCCTTTGTTCATACCTTACTTAGGATCCGATCAAGTCATTCGATCATATTGAAAGTAATACGGCACTCAGTAGCCTGTAAGAGTTAAAGTACAATAGTTACCGATACTTGAATTAGCGTATTATTCATTTATCACAGCACGTGTTTCTTGCAGAGCTAGAGGTTTGTAAGTATCCGTGTACGACACTTCATTATCGTACCCTTGTTATATCTTTTCAATTACAGTACTTCAGATTGTTCCCCTTCTCTGCAGTACCCGTACGATACTAAAATCTCGTACCTATCGTGTTAGATTAGCGTTCGATACTTGATTATATCGTGGGTTTTGTGGGGATTTGTCGCAGGACGACTAAGTCAGTATAGTGTGTAGTGAGTAGTACTTGTGAGCAGGCAGTGTTTACCATTGGTACGCCCCGGGAGGATTAGTCTGGTCGCTACACCTTATTTTACTCTACAACTATCCTCTGCACTGGATCCCACAACATGGTAAAAGAGGTAAAACTCGAAAAACTGGTTGTCATGTGTCCGAGAGGATGCAGCAATCTTCACAGGTGTTGATAACATTAGGATAGAAGATGCAGAACAACTAGCAACAAACAGGGTACAATGGAGAGGTCTAATACACCGGTGAAAGGAGTTACTATGTGGTGCAGGCCACTCCAACGACCTTTTCAAGTACAAGTAAGTATAAGAAGATGGTTAGCTATTATGTAAAGTTTGAAATTGAAGGAGTTTGAGGTAACTAAAGGAGTAGACTGTAAAGGGCGCTGAAGGCAATCTTCTGAGATAGCTGGAAAACATTTTTATCCGGAGATACCGTAATTAAGTATGTTCTATTTTAGAGAATTCACAATTCAGAGCAGTGACTCACCCTGGTTCCCCTTCACAGTTTCAACATCTTCTGTGGCCTCAGTTCTCACACCATCATTAAGCACCAGCGTTAAACTGCAGGTAGAAAAATTTAGCAACACTATCAGGTTAACAATCACCATGGCTTTTTTTAGAAGAAACAAGATTTATATCCGATTATAAGTATACCCTAACCTCTATAGCTCTATCTATATACCAGGCATCTCGGGGAAAATAAAAGTGCATTGTATAGAATAAACCCGGTATAAGGAAAAATCAGATATACCCCATTAGAGCATTACATTATTGTGCCGGGTACAGGACATAAGGATGGGGAACACGAGGGCGGGGAACACGAGGACGGGGAACACGAGGACGGGGAACACGAGGGCGGGGAACAAGAAGGCGGGGAATAAGAGGGCGGGGAACAAGAGGGCGGGGAGCACGAGGATGGGGAACAAGAGGGCGGGGAACAAGAGGGCGGGGAACAAGAGAGCGGGGAACAAGAGGGCGGGGAACAGGAGGGCGGGGAACAAGAGGGCGGGGAACACGAAGGCGGGGAACAAGAGGGCGGAGAATATACGGGCGGGGAACAAGAGGGCGGGGAACACGAGGGCGGGGAACAAGAGGAGGGGGAACAAGAGGGCGAGGAACAAGAGGGCGAGGGACAAGAGGGCGGGGAACAAGAGGGCGGGGAATAAGAGGGCGGGGAACACGAGGACGGGGAACACGAGGGCGGGGAACACGAGGGCGGGGAAAAGAGGGCGGGGAACAAGAGGGCAAGGAACAAGAGGGCAAGGAACAGGAGGGCGGGGAACAAGAGGGCGGGGAACACGAAGGCGGGGAACAAGAGAGCGGGGAACACGAGGACGGGGAACAAGAGGGTGAGGAACAAGAGGGCGGGGAACAAGAGGGCGGGGAACAAGAGGGCGGGGAACAAGAGGGTGGGGAACAAGAGGGCGTGGAACACGAAGGCGTGGAACACGAAGGCGGGGAAAAAGAGGGCGGGGAACAAGAGGGCGGGGAACAAGAGGGCGGGGAACACGAAGTTGGCGAACACAGCCCTTGTGTTTGGTTCCAATTGTGTGGTATTGTCATGGAATAAAGCTCAACATGTAGTCGACACAGAATGCGATAAGAGCTATTATGATAAATCACATTTCTTCCACAAAACTAGCTAATTAACTTAAAGTTTGGGGAAAAGGCGGGGCCGATATATCGATGTACTCGATATAGAGTGGCACGGTATATAGATTATAGACTTATAGAGGTTAGCTTGTAAAACGTCGGTTTGTTCATTCATAATTCATGATAGGAGGCAGTACGCGGCACAAGCCATGCGTTACGGAGTAAGTTATTTAAATTGATAGATCATTTCCTTTTGTTTGGAAAATGAATACACTGGGACGGTCCACTCAACCTAATTTTTATTTAAAATGTATGTACCCGAACCTCTTATTCTTCAAAGTTTTAATTAATTAAGTTAACTTGAATAGAAAAATGTGTTTTATTTGAGAAAAGACACATATATATCAGTATTTCTTACCCTATCAAAGATGAGATCACGAAGCACCTCATATCGTCGTTGTAAAAAGTGCTCCTAAATTCTCATCAACTCTAGCAATCTTGAAGAAGTAAAATAAAACATAGCAAACAGTCGAATAAACTTAATAAGTTAAATTAAAGACACATAGGAAGGAATGATGGGTAGCGGGACAGTAAACAGTTTGTCAATTTGGAGGGTAGGGTCACGTCATGGGAGAAGGAATATGATTCATAATTGGATAAATAAGTTTTATTAATTATAGGGGAATAATTTCGTACAATGGTATGTTTATTTGCATTAAACTTAATAAGTTGATGGAGGGCGAAAAATGGAGGGTTCATTCAACTATTTGGAGATCGTGAAATCGAGTGTTCTATAGATGTGGATACTGGCAGGGAGGTGATACATGTTTGTTTACTTTAATAGTAAGCCCCTGTTATATATATTAGGCGGTTTGAAGAGGTGATACATGTTTGTATACATTTTTAGGGTAAGCCCCTGTTTGGCGGGTTAAGGAGGTGATACATATTTTGTATTATGGAACGCTTGTAACACTTGTAACGCCTTCTTGTTACCCCCCCCCCCCCCCCCCCCCCCCCCCTTTGAAGGCCCCGAATTATTTTCTGAACGAAAGCTCAAAAATAATCGAGAAATCGACCTTCTTATTAACTCATTTTGATGACTGTTTCTGACCTAAAATTGCACGAAAATCGATTTAGCTAGGTTTCAGACACTTCCTTATCCCTCAAAATTGATGTTTTATAGTTGATACGAGCAACAAGCAACATATATTCTGATCCTTCGGTTCTACTCATGACCTAGGGAGTTAAGCTGAAACCGAAAGATCGAGGCAATCCTCACCTTAACTGATCAAACTGGTACTAACACAATTTTCAGATATAAATGTTCTTTGCGATACGTTTATTGCAGCTTTGCAACTTGAGTGAAGACCAGAGTACGAAAACACACAGCAGGTAAGCAACTCAATTTTGGTGACTGTTCCTCACGAACATTCTGATCCTGTAACATAACAACAAGGAGATCGTCTCCTAAACAAATCGAACAGGTACTAATTACTATCACAATTTCCAGAGCAGAGCATGATAACAAAGTCAAAAGAAACACAATGAAGGTAGGTTACGAACACCACAATATAACAATCATACTAACAACTGGATTACATTTATTCTGATATGATGACGGGCAGCCCTGATTTGCTTCGTGATCCTCAACGAGCGACCAATTGTAATAGAGGTGTTATGTCACGTGACACCGATCCGTCCAATCACAAACATGAGTGTCACACTTAAAGTGATTGTTATCATCAAATTGTACAGCTTTAGTTATATTGGTAACACTTGTTATATTATGTTATATTATGTTATATTATGTTACATTATGTTATATTATGCTATATATTATGAGTAATATCATTGTATTGTGCGACTTAAGAAATATAAATATTATACCCAGATTTCTACAGGCTAGATAACCTGGAAAAGTAAACAAAAGATCGATTTTTTCAATAAACCTGTCCCATTTTGATACGGTATTCTGTACCAACCAGTTTATGCTATTCTATCGCAGATTTGGTTCAGAATCCAGCATCATGGTGAGAAACGGTTGATAAGTCATTGTCACGTGATCGTAGCCATCATAGACACCGGGTCGGGTGTGGATGATCCGATAATTAGTGCTAGATAACAGTCAGAATATATACGACTTACCAATGTAATCTGAGAAATTTTGTGGAGTAGACTGAGAAATATCCGGATTTAAGATTGGCGAGGATAGCGAAGAGAATGATGTAACAGAATTTCAAAAATACCTCGATTTAAGGACGGAAATAATTTCGAAACAATCCCTCCCGTATGAGCTAATTTGATCTGTAACGAGAAATGACCGTACTACTGACGATGCTTAGAATGTGATAACCTTGTCGGACCATATTTGGACGGACATTACTTGAACGGAAATAATTAAGAACGGACATTAATATGAACACTAGAAGGCAATCAAAACCATCAAAAATTCGAGTTTTGTTTATCTTTTTTTGACGTTTTTAAATTTTAGCAAATGATTTTTAAACGATATAGTTTAGTCTAATGATAGCTATTGAAATTGACTGAAATTAAAAAGTTGTCATTCTGGACAAAAAATTCAACGGACTTTAACTTTGACGGACATTAATTGGACGGAGTTTATTTGAACGGACATTAAGATGAACGCTAGGGCCTCCAGCGTTCAAGTAATGTCCGTCCAAATAAGGTCCGATAAGGTAGTAAATCTAAAGTGTTATTAGTGATCTGTCCCAACAGTGTGATTCGCAAAAATAACGGCGCAGCTACTAACCTACTAAATATCAATATAATTGAAGATGCACATTTATTGTACTAACAGAATAGGAACCGACCAGTGCAGTTAACAAGGAAAACACAAAGGGTTACTTAACGCAAGGACACTTAACTAAGGCTCTAAGGTATGGCACGATTTCAAGAATCGGTTTCCTTGACAGCAGGACAGTATCTGATTCGACTAGAGCTAAAGCCACCCCTCCCCCACCCCCAACTATAAAGTCTGTGATATCCGCACAATCATCTGTGGAGGCAGAAATAAATTAGAGGAATCTCAAATTTGCTTTGCATCACAGACCACAGTGCCTTGCTCAACTTAATCAGTTAATCGTAGAGAGTGTTTTAGAACTACAACAAAATGCCGAATTTTCACCGTGACCGAACCGGGATTGTTTTCTAAATTTAAATTATATCTTCAAGGTGGGTGCTACTTGTGATGAACTCTAGAAGGATGGGATGGTAATACTCGGTCTGGCCGTCTGGCCGTCAATAGAATTCCAGTTCAGAAACCGAGTAAGGAGGTGCGGCTACTGATGAGAAGCCTCTTTAAAGTTTATTTGGGTAAGAAACGACATCTGGGTCCCTACCCTCGCACAAGATTATTCTCAATCTCAATTTTCTTGTTGTGTTCCACAACTGTAGTTCTGTACACTTCAGTGATTGGGCTGATGACTACAGTGAAAGCGCTGGTGACTCTAGTGAAAGTACTGGTGACGCTGAGAAAGACCATAAACCAGGGATTCCTTCGGGAGCATGTAAGATTATATTCAGGTTTGTTCGCCAATGGGGTGTGTCTGGGTTCAAAGATCTTCAAGGTGGCCGTGGGTGCTACTTGTAATGAACTCTAGAAGGATGGGATGGTAATACTCGGTCTGGCCGTCTGGAAGCCCATAAAATTCCAGTTCAGAAACCGAGTAAGGAGGTGCGGCTACTGATGAGAAGCCTCCTTAAAGTTTATTTGGGTAAGAAACGACATTTGGGTCCCTACCGTCGCACAAGATTATTTTCAATTTTCTTGTTGTGTTCCAAAACTAATTCAAAAAATTATTTCTGTATATAAATGTATGTACGACCGCCCACGTGCAAATTAGGTAAAAGCAAAAGTTGCATAGTAACCATGGTAAAGAGGATTGTTACACGCACGTGCACGTGCAATGATTGTTTTAGCGTCATTTTGATCTGTTTTGTGGTAATATTACGCGGTGTTTAGTACGAGCAACATTTTAATTGGCTGTATCTCCGGTTGTGTAGGATATTTTTTGACGTGATTTAAACTTATTGAAAATACTCACTTCCGACGTTAATTATAGAAAGTTTAAAGCCTTAATCAAAATCCATAGAATGCCATAGCCTATTTCTATTATTTTTTACAACCCTGCTAAAAATGGCGAGTCCATTTGCGAACTGAAATTAATGTTACAAGGAATACAAGGAATACAAGGAATACAAATTTAAAATCTTAAGCTACAATAGTAACTGTTAAGATAATAACAATATCATAAGATTTGAATTTATTATATTAATATAACTTAAACTAAAGTGAAACATAAAGATTTTGACAAAAAATATTTTGTTTACAATCGCCTTGGTAATGCTGTAATGCTTGAGCCAGGCCACTTTGCACTCGTTGTTGCGCGAAAAGAAACAAAAGCGCTGGTACAGTGATTTTCAGTGTTCATGTACTGGCCAGAGAGTCGACGAATTTCTTGCGGTTGTTAAAACACGTAGTGGCAAATCTAGCAACGACTCTCGTGAGGTGGACTTGACTTTCATTCGTGATTAATTCAATGATTTCACTGTTGTTGCTGATGAATTTGAGCACGTTTGCTCCAGGGATGACAGTGTAAACAGAACAAGATGACGCAGATGGTTTGATTGAATTTGATATGATTGATTGGATCTTGTCTAGGACTTTTCGCCTCGATGCAGCGTTAAGATCACAATGGTTAAGGAAGTGATCTTCATTCTCAATAATACCAGAACCTAAGACTATATTGCACCAGGAGCATATTCGCTCATCGCGAGGAGTTTGATTATATCGGCCAAGTTCAATTTCGAGTCGATGTGCACTGATCCGCAGTCTTGTGATATTAGCACGGTCTGCATATTTAATGACACTGTCTAGGTAATACTCTTTGTTAAATTTGGATTTTAGGTCACGATAGAATTCTAATTTCCGAGAAGTGTTGATACAGGACCCCCAATATTCTCTAAAGCTACTTTTCAAAGTTTTAGTAATGACGTGTGGTGTGAATATTTTACTCCCGATGGGTTGTGTTGATTGCGGAGGAATTCGTTTCTTGAAACCGTTGTGAATAAGAAAGTCCTCTTTTGGTGGTTTTGCGATACTCGGGTTACTTTCGAAAATTGACTTGGAGTGATTGTTTTTGAGTGTGCGGTAGGCTGTGACATGTTCGGTAGAGAAACATGGGTCTAGCGCGAGGACAGGCTCCAAACCTCTGTACCAGTCCAATTTCATGTTCATCTGTTCTTTGAAAGCTAAGGATACAAGGGAGTTATCTTTGAGATTTTTCAAGCGTTGGGTATATTTGAGAGTGAGGTTAATACATTCATAGATTAATGGGTAGCGGCCTGACTCACCCCAGACGCCTGCGTTACTGGTTTTACGATTTACACCCAGTGACCATTTAAGAAAGTGAAGGTGAACTTTTTCGCTGTCCAGAAGACTAATTTTCTTGAGGATACTAGTTTGAAATTTTGTTTTTGTGTCGGGATCCATATTGAGATCGACTTGTTTTGTTATGTGTTTTATGATAGCCATATTAGGTGTGTAAATAGGCGCTCCGTAAAGAACGATAGGTTTAATAAGAGCGTCAAAGAGTGTTGTTAGAGAACGGAATGATAATTTGGATTTGTTTACTGAGCTTTTCATGCCATAAAGTGCACGCATGGCTTTCTTTTTGAGCTCAGTTCGGGCATTTGTGAATGTGCCGGATTTGTGTATTTCGATTCCTAGATAACAGTATGACTCGACTTCTTCTAACAAGTGATTACCTATTTTGAGGGGAACCGGCTGATAATTATCGAAGCGGGAATTAAATTTCATGAGTTTAGTTTTATTTGCATTAATTTCGACGCCCCATTCCAAGCAGAAATTGTTCAAAGCATCGAGTTGCTTTTGGAGGGTTTTGGGGTCCAGTGCCAAGAGTATCAGATCATCTGCCCATAGTAAGTGACTGATAAGTTGGTTCATTAGTTTTGGACAGTTATCAAATTCTAGTCGAGGGGAAAGATCTCTAATGTATATTTTAAAAAGATCAGGGGAAAGTGGATGACCCTGTTCAGTTCCTTTATTGATATCAAATTTTTCGCTGACAAATCCAGATAGCTTTATCTGGCCAGTGGAATTTTTATACATATGTTTAAGAACATTAAATGTTTTGCCAGTGATACCTAGTTTAGCTAACTTTAAGAAAAGAGCTTCACGACAAACAGAGTCGAAAGCTTTCCGGAAGTCCACGAAAACAGCATAGACGGGAACCTTGAGCTTTTTGTATTTAGACGTAATGGTGTTGAGTGTGAGTATGTGGTCATATGTTTGAGCTCCTTTAGCGAAGCCAAGTTGATTTATGGGGTCCGGGTTGTATTCATTTTTGAACTTGATTATCCTGTTTAGCATAATGGTCGAGAATAGTTTCCCGATTGTACTACTCGCCTTTTTTGTGTAGGGGTGTTATAATGCTGTTGTTCCACGGGTAAGTTCCAGTGTCCAAACAGCGGTTAAATACTTTGCAAAGGAGTTGTGTATTTGTTGTGGACAAGCTCCACTAACCTTACATGGAATAGTGTATCGCCGATCGCGTGTAATTGGATTCAATTATAGGAGCTGTGCAACTTTATTCCAGCATCTTGATCTGGTATCACCTTCTGAAACCTAGCAGGCAGCTGGGTCAGAAATTTGAAGATAGAAGGATTTTTTGTCAATGAACATCGAAGCGTAAATCATGTAACCCTATGTTTTCGTCGTTGCCAAATAAAAGCCATACTACAGCTGTAGCTACAGAGCTAGATGATGAAGAGAAATTAAAACATACCGTATCTGATTTTTTAAATTTCCTCGAACAAATCTTTCAAGATAATAATGAAATAAAACCAAAGTGGAAACTATTAAAATGTAAAACTTCATGATTCGAGTGGTCAATTGTATTCATAGGTCTGCTTTATAGATTAAAATAACCTTTCATTTAAAATAATTGTTCTATTAATTGTCTGGGACGAAGGTATGGCACGTGGTCACTGGTCACATCTAGCAAATATTGAATAATGGTCTCTAACCGCATCAACCAAGACGTTGTAATGTACAAGTGCTTGTAGCGTAACGCGAACGTTACTATTTGTCACCCACAAACAGCTGGACTTGTAAATTAATGTCTTAGTAATTTTCATATTAGTGGCTTCTTCATAAAACTTACGATCATGATAAAAATCTAAAAAGAAAATTTAATGAAAAATTTTAAAATTTTTTTAAAAATTTCCCAAAAATTTTTTTTTTCCCCAAATATTGCAAATTTTTTTTAAAAAAAAATTTTTAAAACAAAAAATTTGGAAAGGGGAAATTTTCGTTTAAATTTTTTTAATTTCCGGGGAAATTTTTTTTTTTTCCCCCCTTAATTAAATTTTCCAAAGGGCCGTGTTTTTTTTTTGGGAAACCCCCCGATTTTAAAAACCAATGGGGTTTTTTTTATTTTGTTTTAAACCAAAGTTTTCCCATTTCTTTAAAGGGGCCGTAAGGGGCTTTGGGTTGCCCGGAAGTTCCATAAATTTTTTCCCCTTTTGGGGACAGTTGTTTTGGGGTTTTATGAAGAAGAGATATAGAATTTTGGGTGTTTTTCCCTTATGGGTGTTTGGGGGGAGTTAAAATTAATTTTTAAAAATTTATATAAAATGGAAATTCAAAGAGGAAGGGAACTCGGGGTTTACTTTTAACTTTTACATTTGGAAAAAACCCGAAAAGACTTAAAATTTTAGAAAAGAACAATAGTTTTGAAAATTTTCAAAAGGAAAGGGACCCCAGAGGTTTAATTTTAAACTATAAAATGATCTTTTTGCCGCAAACAATTTTAGACAAAGTTTTTTAAATTGGGAAAACCAAAAGGAAAGGCCCACTCAAACCCCTTTTGAAACCCCCTAACTTGGGGTTTTTGATGAAAAACTATCGGGAAAAAAGGGGAAAACCCCCATATAAGAGGTTTTGGGTTTTTTCACAAAATTCCCCCGGAAAAAACTCGGGGTTAAATTCCCCAAAACACCTAAAAAATATGTTTTTTTTTGACTTCCCCGGGGGGAAAATATTTAAAAAAAACCCCCCCCCCTTTTTTTTTTTATTAAAAAGTTTTGTTGATTCCTTTTTCCTATACCCCCCTTGCTATGTTCTTTTTTTTAAAGGCCCTTATTGATGAAACCCCAAAAATTTTGTTTTTCAGGCCGAATTCCTGTTTTAAAAAAGGGGGGGGGGGGGGGGTGTTGAAACCCCAAAAAATTCCCCCAATTTAAAAAAATTAAGTTGAGCCGAACAAAAAAAACTTCCCCAAAAAAAATTTATTTCGGGGGTTTTTTTTCCATTTTCCTGCTGAAAGGTTTAGCGTTGATAAATTTAATTTCAAATAGGAGGTTCCCCTTTTCTTTCGGCTTTGGGGGTTACATTTTAAATAAAAAAAACCCCCGTTCTCCAAAACCCAGGGACCATTCCTTTAAAAGGGTTTTTGACAGAATTCCTTTTAAAATAAATTAACAAAAACAGGGGTTTTGGAAAACCCCCGTTTTAAGGCTTTTCTGAGGTCAGCTTGAAATCCTTGGCCCCCTTTTAAGTTTGTTTGTAATGAGAGTAAAAACCCTTTTTCAAAACAAAACTTAATAGGGGTTTTTAAAAAAAAAATTTAGGGGTCCCCTTAAACCAACTTAATTAGGCTATATTGGGTTCCCGCTGTTGGTTGGCCCCCTACTTTTAATTCATTTAAAACGAAAGATTAAGGCTTTTTGACATCCCCCCCAAAAACCTTTTTTACAGTTCTAATACTGAAAAAAAAAAAAAAAAGAAAATTTAAAAAAAAGTTGTAATACGAAAATAAGTTTTGGGCATCAGGAAAAAAAAAAGTCCTTTTGTAATTTACACGTACCCCTTTTATTAAAAATTATAACCAAATATTTTGGGGGGGGGTTTTCCCCCCAAAAGGTTTTTTTTCAATTTGAAATAAGGTTTTTCAAAAACAATTTTTTTTTTTAATCCTTCTTTTTTTTCTTTCCCATCCCCCCCTCAATTTAAAAAAAATTAGAAAATTAAAACCTTCGAATTTTTAATTTTTTTTAAAAATCTTTTTTTAAAAAAGGAACTTTAAATTAAAAAGAATTCAAGGTAAAAAACCCTGAAAATCTCTTTATTTTCCCTATTCTTCAGGGGGCTTTGTTTAATCCCCAAAAAATTTAAGTTCGCATCCACAGAAGTTGGATACACTGTACCGGCCAAGTATTTTCCCCTTTGGAAATTTTATCCTTTTTTAAATTTTTCAAAATTTGGGGCTGGAAATTATTTACATTTTTGGGCATTTGGGAAATCAGCGCGGTTTTTAAAATAAAAATTTTTTTTTCAATGAAAAAAGGGAAAATATTTAACCCCTTTTTTCCCGGCCAAAAAAAAGCCATTTTCGTTTTTGGGAGTGAGGAAAAAATTAAAACCCCAGTTTATTTTTTAAATTTCCACGAAAAATTTTTTTAAAAAAAAAAAAAAATCAAAAAAAAATTAAAATTTTTCATGCAATTTATTCCCTTCCCTATATTAAAAAACCTTTTTTTTAAAAAATTTTTTTTTTGGGGAAAAATTGTTGGTCCCTAGTTTGATTGGGACTGCCGAAAAAAAGCTTTTATTTTCGGTTTTTAGGGCGAAGTTTTAAAGTCCCCCCAAAAAATTATTTAATTAAGCTTTAAAATAGAGTCTTTTTCATAAAAAATTTCTTTAAAAAAAAAATAAAATTAGTTTTGGGGAAAAATTTTTTGGTAACTTTTGGGGAAATTTCCCCCCCTCATCTTTTTAAATTTGTCAAAAAATTTTCAAAACAATTTTACGGAAAAAGGGCAAAACTTAAAAATTTTAAAAAAGGGGGGCCGAAAATTTTTGCCCTTTTTTACCCTTAGAAAATTTTTTGAGAGTCAGGAAATTTTCTTTTCCCCGGTTTTTGAATTTCCCCTAAGGCAGGTTTTTTTAATAATTGATTAAATCCCCTTAGATTTAATATTAATTTCCCCGACTAATTACCCCTATGATTTTGGTTTGGGGCCATCCCCCAAATCAAATTTTTTTCCAAAAGGGGGTTTTTAAAAATTTCCCCAAATTTTTCCCTATTCCCCGAGGGCCACCGGGGAAAATTTTTTTACCGGAGGCCCTCGGGCCCCCTGTTACATTTTTCCCCCCCGGGTAAAATTTTGGGGGGGGGGGGGGGGGGGGGGGGGGGGGGGGTGTTAAAAAAAAAAGGTTTCCCCAAATTTTAAATTAACCCTTTTTTCAATTTCCCCAAAAATGTTGTTTGGGTGGGGGGATGGACTCCGGCCGGAGAATAAATGAGAATTAGGCTTACAATAAAAAGGGGGAATTTTAGGCGTTTGTAAATTTTAAAATTGTTATAAAACTTTAATAAAAAAAATACTGAAAATCCCACTCCTAAGGTAGGGCACAAAAATTAAAAATTTAATACCCGCGTGGTTTTTCCCAAAGCCTCTCCCCGCCCCCTGTCCCAAACCCCCAAAACCCCCCCCCTTATAAAAAACTTTAAAATTTTAAAAGAGTTGCCCAGTTTTTAAAAAATTTCATTTCTTTTTCCCATTAAACCTTTTTTGCCATTTCTTTAAATTTTTTTTTTGGGAGGGTCTAAAAGTTTAGTGTTTTTTTTTTTTTTCAAATTAAAAACAACCTAAAATACAATCAGACTAAATTAATTTTTGAATTACGCACCCCAATTCATTCCCAAACCCCGGGGTGACCCCCCCTTAAAAACCCCCTTTAAAAAGGCTTTTAAAAAGTCGTGTTAATGGTTACAAAAAATTTTGGGCCTTTTTCGATTGTTTTTTTCCCCTTGTTTAAATTTTAAAAATAAAAAAAACTGTTAGCCCCCTTGGGTTAATCCACTCCCCGCCCCCCAAAAAAAAATTTAATGGGCCCTTGGGGCCCCTTTTAAAAAATTTTCCTCCCCGGTGGTGGGGACAAAGAAATTATCCGGGAAAATTTTGTTTTCCGCCCCCGGTCCCCCCGGTTATGTTATTTTAAACCCCCCTTTTTCCTACGGGGTTTCCCCGCCGCTGCAAAGGGGGTACTCTAAAGGAAAACCCGGGGTTAAGCTACTTTAAATTTAAAAGATTGTTGCGGTTATCATAGGGGCTGTGAACCCCTTTTTTACGGGGTGGTAGGACCCTTTTTTTCCAGGCGCTGGTAAAATTTAATTAGGGCTGGGGCGGAACAAAATTTCCCGGGCCCCCGGCAATAAAATATGTTTCCCAGGGGGGTAGGGGGGAAAAAAAATATTTTTTTTAAACCTCGGGCCCAAAAACATAAGATTTTTCCCCCGGGGGACATAAAATTTTTTTCCCCAAAGGGGGTTTCATTTATATAATTTTTTAAAAAAACCCAAATTT